AAATTTTGGGGTTTTTAGACTGAGCATTGACTAAAAATTCGATTTTTTAGCTGAAAATTGCTCAGAAATCCAATTTTCCGGATTAGAATTAGCTCGAAAATCTTAATATTCAGCCAAAAAATCTTTAAAAATCCCACCTTTTTGCCCTTTTCAGCATTATCAACAGCTAACGATTTGGGATACGGCGTAGCCGCCTTGCCACGTGGCTTCGATTTGTCTGAAATTTTTAAATTTTAAGACAAAAATTCTCAGTTGTTTTGCTCACTCTCTTGCTGAGTTTTCGGCGTTGTTGAGCGCATGGAAGTGCCACGTGGTTTCTGCTGAGAAGATTCTGGAAGGAAAAGGATTGGTGGCCTAGGATCCCAAATTTCATGGCCTAGGACCCGAAAATTGACCATGATATCTGCGAAATCGTAACCTAGGACCCCAAAAATGGTCTAGAAACTCTAGAATCGCGGCCTAGGATCCCAAATTGATGGCCTAGGATCCCGAAAATGGCCTAAAAATTGGGAATGATGGCCTAGAAACCCTATCATCATGGAATAGGATCCCATATCCATGGCCTAGGTTTCCAAATCGGTGGCCTAGGATCCCAAAAATGACCTAGAAACCTATAAAATCGTGGCTTAGGATCTCAAATTGATGGCCTAGGACCCCAAAATTCGCCTAGAAATCCAAAAATCGTGGCCCAGAAACCCTAAAAACGTGGCCTATAAACTCAACCTGATGACCTATGATCCAAAAGTCGTGGCCTAGGAACTTAAATTCATGGCCTAGAACCTAATATGATGGCCTAGAAACCTATAAAATCGTGGCCTAGGATCCCAAATTGATGGCCTAGGATCCCAAATCAATAACCTAGGCCATAGAATGGTGGCCTAGGACCCCAAATTCGGCCTGGAAATCCTAGAAACGTGGCCTGGAAAGCCTAAAATTGTGGCCTAGGATTCCAAATTGATGGCCTAGAAACCCAAAAATGGTCTAAAAACTGGAAATGATGACCTAGAAACACTATAATCGTGGCCTACAATTTTATATGATGGCCTAGTTTTCTAAATCGGTAGCCTAGAATCCCAAAATGACCTAGAAACCCCCTAAAATCGTGGCCTAGGATCCCAAAATCGTGACCTAGAAATCCCCGAATTGGCCTAGAATTGAAAATAATGGCCTAGAAACCCTAGGATCATGGCCTAGGATTCCAAATTTAGCCTAGAATCCAATATAATGACCTAGAAACTCTAAAATCGTGGCCTAGAACCCCAAATTGATGGCCTAGGATCCCAAATCAACAACCTAGGCCACAGAATGGTGGCCTAGAACTCCAAATTTGGCCTAGAATCCAAAATTGATGGCCTAGAAACCCTAGAATCGTAGCCTAGAATTCAATATCCATGGCCTAGGACTCCAAATTTGGCCTAGGATCCAAAATTGATGACCTAGAAACCCTAGAATATCGTGGCCTAGGATCCCAAATCCCTAGAACCCCAAAAACTCACTCTTCTCCGGCGTTGGAAGCTTCAAAACTACTCTATGACGGGATTTTGGCTTTGGAGTGGCTGAAATTTCGAATTTCGGACTGAAATTTGGCTGAAAATGGCTCACTTGGCGCTGGAATTTCAGCCAAATGATCCATGGGGGTGTGCGGAACTTCCAGAGCTGTCGAGAGCACTGAAAATAGATTTTTCAGAGATTTTTAGTCGAAAAATGATCACCTTGATCTGGAATTTTTGGAACATCTGGAGCTGGAGCAGCCGGAGCAGCTTCAAATGGAATTTCAGATGAAATTTCGGCATCGGGAATCGCTGAAAATCGATTTTTTGAGTGAAAAATTATCAAAATTTGGCTAAAAATCACTGATTTTTAGCTGAAAATTCATCAAAAAATCTGGAATTTTTTTCAGAAAAATTCTGCTGAAAATCGGCGATTTTTATCTGAAAATTCATCAAAAATTGGCTGAAAATTGCCAATTTTTAGCTTAAAAAATCTGAAAATTTTCATAATAATTTGGCTGAAAATCACTGATTTTTAGCTGAAAAATCGTCAAAAAATGGCTGAAAATTCGACGATTTTTTGGCTGAAAAATGCCCGAATTTATCCCGTACTTTTTAAAAATCCCGTACTTTCTGGAGTGTCCAAATCCAAATTTTCCACAATTTTCGCATTATTTTCCAGCGGCTTTCCCTCTAAAATTGCAGCTGAAACTGTCGATTTTTGAGCATCTGGAGGCATTGGAATCGCTGAAAAAATAGAAAAAATTCTAGAATTTTTCGACGAAAAATTGGCTGAAAACGGTCAGTTTTTCCCTAAAAAACGCTGAAAATCCCCACTTTTCTCCAATTTTCCCTCTGAAATCGCTTCTGGGACATCATCCACCTCTTCGGCTTCCAGATTCGGGTCCGCTGCTGATGGCACCAAGTAGCGGACTTGGCGAGGATCGTGATCGTCTGAAATTAAGGAAAATCATGAAAAATGACCCAAAAATCATGAAAAATGACCCAAAAATCATGAAAAATGACCCAAAAATCATGAAAAATGACCCAAAAATCATGAAAAATGACCCAAAAATCATGAAAAATGACCCAAAAATCATGAAAAATGACTCAAAAATCATGAAAAATGACTCAAAAATTATGAAAAATAACCCTAAAATTATGAAAAATAACCCAAAAATCATGAAAAATGACTCAAAAATCATGAAAAATGACTCAAAAATCATGAAAAATGACCCAAAAATCATGAAAAATGACCCAAAAATCATGAAAAATGACTCAAAAATCATGAAAAATGACTCAAAAATCATGAAAAATGACTCAAAAATCATGAAAAATGACCCAAAAATCATGAAAAATGACCCAAAAATCATGAAAAATGACTCAAAAATCATGAAAATTGACTCAAAAATCATGAAAATTGACTCAAAAATCGTTAGTTTTCCGTATTTTTTGGTAATTTTGAGTTAAAATTTTCAGCCAAAAAATCCCGTACTTTCCAGCTCCTGCATAGCCAAATCTGGCACTTTTCCGCGTCCTCCCAACACCGATTTCACTGAAAAAATTCAAAAAAATTCTCGAAAAAATCTGAAAATCCGCCTACAAAGACTATTCGAATCAGCCGGTTTTCCGCGTCGTTTCGCCGTTTTTTGAGCTGAAAATTTTGAATTTTTCCATTTTTTTTTTGGCGCCAAATTTGAATTGTTAGCGTTACCAGGCGATTCAGAAGACGATTCAGAAGTCTTCGATCCACGTATAGCCGGCGTTTTTTCTGAAAAAATCGATTTTCGCAGCTGAAAATTCTGGAATTTTCGAGCTATACGCTGCTTAGAGTCCGTTGGAGCTTCTGGTGCCTTGCCACGTGGATTTGGAGTCTCTGGAGCTGATTTTCCTGAAATTTTCAACGGAAAATATGATTTTCAAACGATTTTAAACCTGAAAATGAGCTTTATAAAACCAATTTTTAATCAGAAAATCGGCAATTTTCCAGTTCAAAATTCAGCATTTTTTCTAGCTGAAAATCTGGAAATTTCCTTTTTTTCCATTCAAAATTGCCCAAATTTTCCCGAAAAATCGACAATTTTTTACTCAAAATTCGGCGTTTTTGGGGTAATTTGTGCTGAAAATATCGATTTTTAAGCCAAATTATCGATTTTCTAGCTTTAAAAATCAAGCAAAAAAAATTTTTGTTTTGGAATTTTTTCCCATGAAATCGACAATTTACCAGCTCCAAATTTGCCTTTTCAGAGTAATTTGAGCTGAAAATATTGATTTTTAGGCCAAATTATCGATTTTCTCGCTGAAAATCTGGAAATTTCCTTTTTTTTTCATCGAAATTTGTCAATTTTGCCCAAAAAAAACTGGAATTTTCCTACGATTTTTAGAGATATTCAAGTCAAAAATTGCTAAATTTTTAGGCAAAAATTCTAAAAAAATTGGCTTGAAAATTCGATTTTTTCTGAAATTTCTCGCTCAAAATTTGCCTTTTCAGGGTAATTTGAGCTGAAAATATTGATTTTTAGGCCAAATTTTCGATTTTTCCAGTTTTTATCCGTCAAAATTGCCCAAATTTTTCCCAAAAAAATCGGCAATTTTCTGACTCAAAATCTGGCTTTTTTGGGGTAGTTTGAGCTGAAAATATCGATTTTTAAAGGTGGGGGGACAGGAGATTTTACGGGGGATTTTTGGGGCCAGAGTATGCATTCTACCGTGACGGTGTACAACGCTTAACGCCACTCTGCGTACAGATGTCGTCCTCGCCTTTATGTATCCAATCGGGCGACCGCTTTCTCTTTGCCCGTGTAGCTCAGTCGGTAGCGGCGCCGCACCCTCAATCCTCGCCCACACGTTCAACTCCTCGAGGGGCATATTTGAACGAAATTTCGAGAACATTATTTTTTTTTCATGTCCCCCCACCTTTAAGCTAAATTATCGATTTTACAGTAAAAATCCCCGGCAGTCCCATCTCTTTTGGAAAATTTTCAGCCAAAAACCAAAAAAAAAAACGTAAAATTCGCAAAAAAAGAAACAAGAATTAATGTACTTTTCGTCGATGATTCAGCTTCCGCAATCGGTGAGTCGTCTGGAAACACTTGCATCGTTTTACGGACGGTTCGAACCGGATTTCTGGCTTAAAAATAGATTTTTAGAGGAAATTTTCGAATTTTGGGGGTTGTTACTAGGAATCGGAGTGCCTTTTGGAAGTTTGGCGCGAGTTTTAGGAGCCGATTCGTCTGAAAAATGAGATTTTCAAAAAAATAATTTATTAAAATCCATACTTGTCGGTTTCGCCTCTTCCTCGACGATTGCGGCTCCTTTTGCCGGTTTTTTAGCTGAAAAATCGATTTTTTCAGTTATTTTTAGGTAAAAATCGGCCAAACCCGGTGACATCACCACTGCTGGCGATGGATCGAAACGGACGGCGTTCGACTTGTTGCGAGCACTGGATCTTCGTTGAGAACTCATTTTGCTGAAATTTTAGGGATTTTTTGGCAAAAAATTCCAGAAAAAACGGAGAAAAACGAGTTGAAATATTGTCGAATTAAAAAAAATAGGACCTGAAAATTGAAAGGCGTAGCTTTTTTTGATCTACGAAAAAGTGCGGCAAAAACGTAATATTTCAGATTTTCGTTTTAAGTTCGATTTTCCGATGTTCGATTTTCCGATGAAAAACAGATTCTAGAGATGCTAGCAATCATCTTCCTACCAAGAAATCTAAATTTTGTTCAGAAAATCCCACTAAATTCACAGGAATAAGTTTCGTTCACTACCGTAGTGT